ATATTACACATCACAGTTATTAAAGTATATTAAACTATTATTAAAATTCATTCCCTATAATTATATAAAATGAAAGTAAAAAAATTAAATGCAAGATTTCGCAAAGTAAAATTTTATTGAAGGGTACAATTAGATAAAAATATGAAACGAAATATTTGTTCTTAATAATCAACAATATATTCATGCAAAACTAATTCAAGAATTCATGCAGGTATTTCAATTACTTTTTGCATTTTATGAAAATGCTTTAAATTTAGCTCTCATTTATTTTAATTTGCTTAATTTTATGAAATTTTATCAATTTAATTTTCATATATTTTGAAACATTACAATAGTTTGCCAAGCAATTGCAACAATTTTCATAATAATTACTTTATTATTTGTTATTCAATATCATAATATTATCATAATATTATTTAGCTGCTTTGAAGAACCGACAAGGGAGCTTTCGTTGCTGTATGGGAAACTTTGATGAAAATTCCATTCAATATATGTATGTATATGCCGTCTGTGTGTATGTCTTAGCACACACCTTGCATATTTTGTGCGCATGCAAGAAATTTTTGGCGCAGTGTATTCATTTTTTGGGAGCTACTTACATATTTGTTTTTGTTTTATTTTTTTATTTATTTTTTTTTTTTGTCGTCTTGAGTTGGCGCGGCTTCCACCACGTCCCATTGTCGTCTCCACCACCGCCTCCGCTACCATCTCCGTCTACGTCTCCGTTATTTTCGCTGAATTGCAATAACCTGTTGCCTAATATAAGCGCTGATCGCAGTGGCTGAGTTCCAGCTTCGCCGACTGCGGCGTGGCAGCGGCAGAGCGTCTGCTTATTTAGGATCTTTGCTCTGACAGCCCGCCAGCCCATGCCCAGATTTCTACGGCTACTCATACGCCTGACTGTGTTAGCCTCGAAGTGTGTGTGTGTGTGTGTGTGTGAGTGTGTGTACTTAAATACTTGAAAACAATTGACTGACAGCACGTCCCACGTGCTCCGCCGTCGTCATCAACACTACACACACAGCAGTTGGCTGAAAAGCTTTCATTACGGATAGCTTGTTTGTCTATATGGCTTTTTAATAACGCGTCAACAAGTTGGCAAGGGGTTGTAAAATGTTGTGCACACACTCGTACACACTCTCTCGAGCACAAGTGTGGGCAAACCAACTCAATTTCGATTTCAGTTCCCGGTCAAATTCACCGACCGACCCACTGACCCACAGTTGACCCCCAAAGTGACTATCTAACTATCTGTCTGTCTGTCTGGTCTGGTCGTTTGGCTGTCTGTCTGTCTGGCTGGTCATACATTCACGTACGATAAATATGGTATGTATTTTACATTGCATTGGGCAAGCCCACGGCCCAGTGTCTGGTTATTTTTTGGTTTTTTGTTTTTTGGCGTTAAAACAGTTTACGCTAATTTAAATATTGTGACACATCCGTTGAGTTGACGCGTGCTGCCAGCGTCCGAGTGGGTAAACAGTTGACAACAAGCTTTGACAATTAAACTAGCGAGTGCCGGTAATTAAAAGGGATTGAGGCCACGGGCATAGCTCGTCTCAGACTCCGTCAAGCGAGGCGCCGGCATTGACTCAAGCCCAACCAGTTATCACCTCGTTAGCTTTCTTTCGTTGCCGCCTAATGGATTCT